GGTGGTAATATCGCACGGAATATTCTCTTCTGCTCGGGACCAGAACCATGCTCGGATAAACTGTGGTGTTCGCTCAACGTAGCCTCGTCAATTCATGTTGGATGAGGGAGAGGCAACTACCTCACCATCCTCCGCCGGCGATATTAAAGCCGCTACCATAAGAGTTTGCCTTGTCTACGTTGACGCCACAACCGGCATTCCCATTAACTGCCCAATTACAGTCGGTGTTCACCGTAATCAGAGATCAGTAAATGCCAGCAAGTCGGTAATATCTCACTTGCCCCGTCTGTTTCCTAAATTGGGACATTGTACAATTCTTAGGGGTATGTAATGTTATGACATTAGGAGCAACCCCATTGACGATGTCGATTTCTCCGTTGTCTAGAAGATACTTGGCTCGCAAGCTGTTTGCATTGCACTTTTGCGCCGACCACTTTCGACCACAAAGCAAGAATCTTTCGACTTGGCCCACCCTCAAAACTGACACTTCTGACGAGATAAATACATTTTAGAATCGGTATCGCTTTTAGATACACTAATATATTTTGTTGCATCCCTTCATCCTGTAGACCACTTCCTGAATCAACTTAAGCCGTCTAGGAGTGGGAGAGGAGCGGTGATCCATGACGGGTGCATCTCAGATAAACAGAGACCCAAGCAAAATATACTGGTTAGCTCACCAATAGAGAAGAATGGACTCGAGCCCTGAATGAATGCAAAACACGCACGATTCAAAAAACAAACAAGTAGGCCAATGAGCCTGCTACTTATAACTCTAATGGTGATTTATTTGGTGCGGTATCAGAACATTATATTTTGTGTCGATCGGAATCTAACCATTGGCGCCAGGTAGGGAGCCTTGTCCAATACGCCAAGGAAAACGCGGTTGGATTGTGCAACATGGAAAGAAGAGAGTTGCATTGGGAGTTGAGGAGGGACATTCCCATTCCGTTGATGTAGAAGCCGGTGCACATTAGAGGGAATGGAGGAGCACCGGAGAGGTTGGAATAGGCAATGATTTGAAATACGACAGCCAGAACGAGTATCTAAGATATCGCCAGACATTTCGACTTTGTATCAGAGGACTGAAGAGACGTACCTTTGAAAAAGCGACACGACACGTTCAAGACGGCAGAGGTCAGGCAGCCCTATAGGTGACATTGTGAGTGACAACTCTATCATTGCCTCTTTCACGTACCAAGCAATTACCGATAAAGATCATAGATACAATCAAGAAACTGAGCTAAGGTCGGGTAAGTATATGTGAATACAAGTCATGGCAAGGACTCACATGATAGAAATCCCGATAAACCGGAAGTAGAGGACCGGTGCTATCCCCATTGAGACCCCAAGAGGAAGAAACACCAAAAGAACGTGGCCAATACGACACGATACCGTCAACGCGCTTTTCGCTGTTCGTCCGCGCTTGCCATGGCATACTCATCCATGGAATTTCGAACATCGATCGCAACTTCCATAGATGTTTGTCTAGACATGAGTTTTGTAGTCACTATCCCCAAAGAAGGGGCAGACATGTCTTCGAGCGGCTTATTCCTCGCCTTGTACATGGGTGGTACGCGACAGGAGGTTCAGACACTTCGTACGCTCTGGAAATGGTCTCTACCACTGTCGTCGACATTTTAGAGTTGCTTGCGTGGACAGAGGAACGTAGGGGGTGGCGAGAGGAGAGGACGGGATGGGTAAACGTCGGTGATTAGAGTCTGGCCACTTATA